TATAGAGCCCACCTCCCAGTGGCCATCCTGGGGGGGGAGGCTGATCTCTGTGGCCTGGAGATGAGTTATCCCAGGAGATCTCCAGTGAATCCCTGGAGGTTGGCATCTTTACAGGCTAGGTCAAAAAGGTGCGTTTGCTGCTAATTCGCAGCTGGGTACAAAATACACCCAAATCTCGCACCCACAGCCCATGCTGGATAGGTGAGGAAATGCTAAAAGGAAAGGTCTTCCGTAAGGAGGGCTGCCAATAAGATGGAGAGAATAGAATGTTGTTTCTCCTTTGACAGAGGCCTAAAGTGTGGAAATGGACTCTTGAAGCTTTTCCTGGCATTGAGGTAAATAAGAACCATTCAAGCCTCTGTTAAAGGGATGGGACTTTGACTTCTCCTCCTCCTCCTCCTCCTCCTCCTGGTTGTTGGGAGCCCTCCAGTAAAGTATGGTGCCATGGTTAGAGCATTGAACTTGACTCTTTTTTTTTTTTTTAACCAGAACATTTTATTCGTATTCAACCATAAAGTATAACAACAAACAGCAAAAGTTACAGAAATCCACTTATCCTACCAATGCAATCAAATATACAATCAAAGAGAGGTTCCACGGAACTCTTGAGAGAATGGGGTTCAAATCCCCTGTTCTGCGTTGGAAGCTCTCTGGGGGACCCTGGGGAAGTCACCCTCACTGTCAACCTGACCCACCTCACAAGGTGTTGTGAGGATAAAATGAAGGGTCTCTGTGTGAATAAGATTGTAATAAGCGGCTTTGGGCCCCCACCAGGAGGGAAAGCAGGACATACATACATACAGTTTGGTGTAGTGGTTAAGTGCGCAGACTCTAGTCTGGGAGAACCGGGTTTGATTCCCCACTCCTCCACTTGAACCTGCTGATGTGACCTTGGGTCAGTCACAAGCTCTGGTACAGCTGTCCTTGGAAAAGAGCAGTTTGTGTCAGAGCTCTCTCAGCCCCACCCCCCTCACAGGGTGTCTCTTGTGGGGAGGGGAAGGGAAGGGAGTTTGTAAGCTGCTCTGAGACTCCAAGTGAAGGGCGGGGTATAAATCCAATCCCTTCTCTTCTTCTCTTCAGTAAAATCCAGATCAGGCTCTACAAAGAATCTCTGCCGGAATCATACTAAAGAGCCATCCAGTCCAGTGATCTGGTAGTTGTTTCTGCCTGATGCCCCTGAGAAGCCCATAGGAAGGCTATGTAAGGAACAACCCCGCCACCAAACAGTAATTTAGAGGTACACTGCCTCTGCCCATGGATGTTCCACTTAGTTATCATGGCTATTGCATGTGTGCCTTCTGACTTACTACGACCCCAGTGAGGGACTTCCAAGGCAAATGAGAAAGAGAAGTGGTTTTGCCATTGCCTTCTTCTGTGAAGTCTCCCTTGGTGGTCTCCCATGCAAGTGCCAACTGTCCTTAGCTTCTGAGATCTATTGTCAGGCTATACCATGCAGACTTTCTTCCCCATCATGGCTATTAGCTGTTGGTAATCAAATGTTTGCCCTGACCTAGACAGGCCAGACTAGCCTCATCTTGTTAGCTTCCAGAAGCTAAGCAGAGTCGGCCCTGGTCAGTGTTTGGATGGGAAACCACCGAGGAATGCCAGAGTCGCTACACATGGGCAAAACACCTCTGAATGTCTCTTGTTTTGAAAGCCCTATGGGTTCACCACAAGTTGGCTGTGACTTGACAGCAAAAATAAGTAAATAAATACATAAAAATCAAACATGTACAGGGTAGATCTGAGATTTTTAAAAAGTCATATTTCACGGGACAGAAAAGTACTTTTGTTAGGGCTGATTAGAAAAAGTCACTAAACATTAAAAAACTTGAATTCATTGTAACTTCTAGAGAAACAAAACAAGGAGGTGACTTGTGGCCCTCTAAAACATGTGCCCACACAAAGAAGCTAGGAATTGTAAGGTTGAAAGGCCTCGGAATGCAAACAATATCCAAGATAAACCCAAGGATTGGCAGAAGGATGTTGTTGGCTACAGAAAGTCCTGAACAGTCCGCACAATAGTACCCCTAGGGCTTAACAGAGACATTGGTTTCTTATCTTACTACATGTGCTAATGTTATTCAGGTCTCTCATCTGTAAACTCTTTTATTATGCTGTATGCTAATTTACTGCTATTCACTAATTGCCTTAATCCAATCTTAGCTATATTTACTGCTCAGTTACTTCTGCATTTTGACTCTAATTAGTCCTTCCTGGCAACACCCTCCCCACCCTCTACCTATATGTAATGGTTGGTGACATCTGTTTCAATGTATCTGAAAAAGTGTGCCTGCACATGAAAGCTTATAGCCAGAATAAAACTTTGTTGGTCTCAAAGGGGCCACTGGACTCAAACTTCTTCAGACCAACACAGCAACCCACCTGAATCAGCCAAAGGAAAGGCAGAGATGCGCTAAGCCATATGGCCCAGACCACAGAAGAAGTTTCCCTCTTAAGTTTCAAGAGAATGAGAGATGGGAACCAAAGATGAAGATTTTTATGCAGGTGACTATAAGGGCCCCAGGAGAAGCAGGTAGTATCAAAAGCTGTACCTCAGTTTCTGGAAATGCTGTTGCATTTTGGATGACACTTCCTTTGCCTGAACACTAGCCAGGAGGAATGGAAGAAAACCCAGTTCTGTTTCTTCCTTTAGGCTGCATTCAGACATGACACAGCAAACTAGAATTCACCCATCAGCATCTGGCACAAACCCAGCTTCTTAATTATATATTTTAATTTTATTTATTACATTTAAATAAATAAAATACTGGCTGTGCTTGTGTGCTTCTATCATTCATTTATTAAATTTAAATAAATAAGTCTTCTGAGGAGGGTTCGAAGCACTCGAACTTCTGGCTTCCAGCCATCGTGGGAGACTTGGGCACCGGAGCTGGTGGCGCCTCCGCCGGATCGGCTGCTGTGCTCTGCTCGCTTTCTTCCGAGTCCGAAGTGTGGATGTCCGCAGGGCTGCCTACCTGCTCTAACATCCCATCCTCGTCGCCAATTGTTAGATCGCGCTAACAAAGGACTCGTAGAGTGATTCAGCAAGTGATTCAGCTTTATTTAGAAGTAACGAACAAGCACTAACTCAGTAAGAAACCAGAACAGAAAACAGTGGGAGCTTATGCTCCTTTTAAACATAACCGGGCTAATGTAGCCACGCCTATTTACAAATAACAACCAATGAGATTGCTAGGATAAAGACCAATGGGAGTCTTTCCCTCCTAGGGAATGGTATCGTTCTGATTGGTCGCTGTTACGAAGCGACCAATAGGAAATTCGCTCAGAGGAGCCCTGGTCTGGCTCGAAGCTTAACATGGGAGTCCTATGAGGTGATTCATGTAATCATTTCAATACATTACAGTGCTGCTGGACTCTTCCTCTTTTCTACTGCTACCGTGAGTAGTATTATTTATTTTATCTTTTGAAAACATTAATTAACCACTTTTCTCCCTTGCAGAAGTCAAGACCGCTTACAATAACAAGAGAACGATGATAGAAAAACACAACCAAAAACAATATAAATGAAACCACCATGATAAAAAGTCCCTGTTTAAAAACTCCAGTGAGGACTGTCAATAAATAAAAAAGGAAATGAACCAAATGCATTCTTAAATAAAAGTGTATTCAACTACCTCCTGAAGATTGAGGAAAGAATGGAGCACAGCAGTACCACTGGAGACTTTGGTAACGCTACTGTCATCCATCAAGGATGGAAAAGTGTGCCCTACCAGTTTGGTGTAGTGATTAGGAGCGCGGACTCTAATCTGGGAGAACCGGGTTTGATTCCCCACTCCTCCACTTGCACCTGCTGATGTGACCTTGGGTCAGTCACAAGCTCTGGCACAGCTATCCTTGAAAAAGAGCAGTTTGTGTCAGAGTTCTCTCAGCCCCACCCACCTCACAGGGTGTCTGTTGTGGGGAGGGGAAGGGAAAGGAGTTTGTAAGCTGCTCTGAGACTCCAAGTGAAGGGCGAGGTATAAATCCAATCTCCTCCTCCTCCATCTCCATGTTAGCCAGGTATAGACTGAGCCGATCCACGCTTGGCTACGTGGGCATGCCTCTGTGGTGTCACAGAAATAAAACATAGAGGGCATAAGTCAAAGGTGAGAAATGCTGTGGAAGTGGCTTACATCATTCTCTTCTCCTCCAGTGTATCTTCACAACAACCCTATGAGGTAGGTTAGCCTGAGAGATTGATTGGCCCAAGGTCACCCAGTGAGTTTCCATGGCAGACAGGCGAACTGAACCAGATACTTCCAGATACTAGTCTGGCACTCTTAACCATCACACCACACTTCTCAAGAATAAGCCGAATTAAGTGGGGTGGTGGGGTTGGAGACCTCATTCTATCATGACAGCACAAAATATTACCCACTTGCAGATAATCTCTTTAAAAGTCTTTTTAAAAAGACCTCAGATCTCAGTTCAAATATGATGCAAAGCCATTCTTTTTTTTTTATTTAAAATCTGTGCTTAGTTTGTTAAAGCAGGATTTGGGGGCACAGGCATTCATGCGTATCGTGAGTGACCTTGACAAACGGCTGACTTCCATTGTGTTCGGCCTGAATTAAAGTAGGATGCATAGTGTGAAAGCACAGCTAACACTAACAATAGTTAATCCCTAACTAAGTATAGTTAATAAAGTGGCTCAATGTTCAGACAGTCAGAATGATAAATGTAAGTCAACGGTCATTGCAAATGATGTGCGATCCAAGCGTGGGTTTCTTCTCCCCCCCCCCATCTGTCCTCTGGCAGACCTTAATTTCAGAATTCATTTTCTCTGTGGTCCTTATATTTTTCTTTCACACACACACCCAATCACTAAGTCATTTTCTCTTTCTTTGGGTTCCATAGCATGCTTATCCTGTCTTTCTACTCTGTATTGTTCAAGGAGGGTTCTACTTAGGTCAGAGCAATGTACCCACCAGCAGCTAAAAATGTAGCTTTAAAAAATGATAAGAATAATATACAATGGAAGATCGTTTCAGAGGGTAGCAGCTAGATTCAAGCCCAGTAGCTTCTGATGATGAAGGGAACGTTGACATTTGAAAATTCATACTCCCAAAATATTAGAGTAGTACAAAACCTGTCATGCTCATTTAGATCGGACGCTGATCTCAGTAAGTATTCAGGCTCAAATATGCTGCTAAGTGACTGATGGACGCCTGGCATCCATCAGAAGCTTAGCAGCATATTTGAGCCTGAATACTTATTTATTTATTTTATTTATTTATTTAGACATTTTTACCCCGCCCTCCCCACGAGCGGGCTCAGGGCGGCTTGAGATCAGCGTCCGATCTAAATGTATTACCTTTCCTGATTTTTGTAAAGCACTTTATGAGTGTGAGAGCTTTTGTACTACTCTAATATTTCCTGAGAAAGATCCAATTTTGAAACGTCGTTATACAATCCGGAGACGATGTTGATGTATTTTGACACAAGGATTTTCTTATGATTTGAAGGAATTTATTCATTGTGTTGTAGTGCTTGTTGACAATAATATACAGAAAGTATTTTCTTTGCAAGTCTTGTTGACTGCCTGATTTGTGGGTCAGACTCTCATGACTGTTTTCTTTACATTTCTTCTTTGATCAGGTCGTGATTGTCCACATTTGTCTTGTGACCTTGGGTCAGTCACAAGTTTTTTCAGAGCTGTTCTTTCAGGAGCAGTTCTCGAAAGAGCTCTCTCAGCTCCACTTGCCTCACAGGGTGTCTGTTGTGGGGAAGGGATTGTAAGCTGCTCTGAGACTCCTCCAGGTAGTGAAGGGCAGGGTATAAATCCAATCTTTTCTTCTCCTCCTCTTCTTCTTCATTCATAATATGTTTGTTCTGGCAGGTGTTGGACAAGTGACTGAGGGGGAGAAGGAATTATCAGCTGGGAAGATGTGAACAAATTGATCTCACTGGTACCTCAGTGGGTGGAGCCAAAAGAATGACTTTCCAGGGACCTGAAATATTTCAAAAGTGTGGAAGTCAGCAAGGACAAGAAAATCATGTACAACTTGATTAAGTGAGGAGAAGTTCTCCTTTGGGCAACCAAAGTTTAACCGAAGTGTCCTTCTGTGAGACAGAAATTGAAGATAAGAACATAAGAACATAAGAGATGCCAATGTTGGATCAGGCCAAAGGCCCATCCAGTCCAACACTCTGTATCACACAGTGGCCAGATACTGACTGTGGAAAAATAATAATGAAGAGCTGTAACCTTAACAGTCCACCTCCTCGGAGAAGGAAAAAGAAAGTGTTTGTATGCCCAGAGTGTGGGAAAAGCTTTGATCGTTCCTCTCTGACCATCAGATGTTACATACAGGCATAAAGCCGCACCAGTGCTTAGAATGTGGGAAATGTTTTGAATATAAAGGGCTTCTTGTTAAGCATGGAAAATCGCATACAGGTGAGAGGCCATATAAATGCCTAGAGTGTGGGAAAGCCTTTCGTTCTGGTACCATCCTTTCAGATCATGAAAGAACATACAGGAGAGAAGCCGTACACTTGCATAGAATGTGGGGAAAGCTTTGCTAGGAGTAAGCCAGCTTGTAAGCCACCAGCGAATCCATTCAGGTGAGAAATTGTATCCATGCTCAGAGTGTGACAAAGGTTACAATTCTAGGGCCAGCCTTACTGTCCATGAGAGAAGTCATACAGGAGAAAAACCGTATGAATGCTCTGAATGTGGGAAACACTTCAGTCAGAAATCACACCTAAGTACCCACAAGAGAATCCAAACTGGAGAGAGGCCGTACACATGCCTGCAGTGTGGGAAGAACTTCCGCCAAAAAAACGATCTTCTTCTGCATGAGAGAACACATTCCAGAGAAAAACCCTACCATTGCCCAGAATGTGGGGAAAGCTTCAGCCAGAGCTCCCAGCTTTATGTACATGAAAGAATCCATACTGGAGAGAAACCATATAGATGTTTAGAGTGTGGGAAAAACTTTCGTTGGGAAGATAGCCTTAAAATACATATGAGTATCCATGCTGGAGATAGACCATACACATGTTCAGATTGTGGCAAAAGCTATACTAAGTCATCCCATCTTACTAGGCACAAGGAAACCCACATGGGAGAGAAGCCACATGAGTGCCCAGACTGTGGGAAAAGGTTCACCCAAAACAGCCATCTTTTTCTACACAGAAGAATCCATACAGGAGAGAAACCATTCAGACGCACAGAATGTGGGAAAAGCTTTCGTTGGAAAGGCAGTCTGAACAAGCACAAAAGAACTCATACAGGAGAGAAACCGTACAAATGCTCAGACTGTGGGAAATGCTTTAGTTTTAACTGTGCACTTAAAATACATAAAAGGATACATGAGAGACAGAAAGCACATACATGCTTGGACTGTGGGCGAAGCTACGATGAGGAGTCCCAGCTCCTTAGGCACAAGAGGAGGCACATGGCTGAGAAGCCATACAAGTGTCTGGATTGTGGGAAAACCTTTGATTTTAACTCTGCACTCTTAGTCCATCGAAGGATACATACAGGGGAGAAACCGTATCCGTGCTCAGTTGGTGGAAAATGTTACAGGCAGAGTTCAACCTGTAATGCACATATGAGAATCCATTCAGGAGTGGAACTGAAAGAGAACTCTGAGAAATTGTTTGGGGAATGTGCTGTGCCACACCCCTCAAAATAGGGCTCCGTTTCCATGGATGTATCATGACCCCTTTTGTAGTCCACACATGAAGAGAGAAGCCACAGCCATGGTTTGTTGTGCCCCAATCCCTTTCATCTATTAGAGAAAGCTGTTTTGTCCTTCTGTAGATGAGAGATGGTGAATGTGACAGAAATAACCTCCATTGGCCAGACGTGTGAGGTTTGATCACAGGGTAACTAGATTAGCTCCTCCTTTTCTAAGGCCCAAAACTGCTCCAGTTCTCTGTGAGACACTGGCCCCTTTCAGACACAACAGTTTTAGCAACCGGCTGCTAACGGATTTTATTTACCTTTTCATACAAAGCTGCTTATGTCCCATTGGCAGAGGGGCTGAGCCATTTTTGAGGTAAACTCAAAAATGTTTAAGGTAGACTCAAAAACATTTTCACCTCTTCTTTGTGCTCCTGAATCATTGTGGTGTACTGTTTAAAATGTCTGTTTATGACTAATTGGTCTGTGTGAGCATTAATAAATGGAAATGTTTAGAATGTCAGCAGTCCTTCTGAGAGTGCCGCTTTCCCCACACACACCTCTTTTCTCTGCGCAGTCTTAGTTTTTTAAAACATTCTAAGTTGAGCGCTATAGCACTAGACCAAAATAGCACTTCAGTGCTGCAGCGGGACCACTGAGATGTCTGCGGCTGTTGTTACATGGATACAGTAGGAGAAAAATAACTCATTGGCCAGTGGGTGCGCAGTACATCAGTGACTGGTATTACAGCACTTGCTAACCAACGGTATCTGACTGTAGCAAACGATGTTCAGCCATCCATGCAGCCGATGGTTGCCCAGACAGGGTTGGCTGGCCAGTGACCTGTTGCCAAGAGAATCTCAGGTATATCTCTTAGGAAGGTAAACCTTTTCTCTTTGTGGTTTGAAGGTTGTTGAGTGTTTCGTGTAGATATTCCTGTCAGTATGGCTAGTCTTGTCAGTATGGAGTCGGCTGCCCATCATGAGGTGTTTTCACGGGAACTGTTTTGCAGTGAGGCTTCAACCACAGTTGACTTGGAGGACCTCGGCCCAAATGATCCCGGGAAGTTCTGCCTGCATTTTTCAACTGTAGTGGCGTTCTGCAGGTTTGCTTGTTTGTGTTTTCTGACAATCAGGTTTTTAAACCATAGGTGTTGCATCGTTAGTACACTCTCATTAGTTGCACAGCGTTCCATGCGCCTTGGTGTTTAGTCATGCCTGCCACGTGACCACGGAAACATCTTCGGACAGCGCTGGCTCTTCGGCTTTGAAACGGAGATGAGCACCGCAACCCTAGAGTCGGATTCGACTGGCTTTCGAGCAAGGGAACCCTTACCTTTTTATTAGTTGCACACCGTATCATAACCTAGTGTCAGCAGATGTTCCACAGGTTGCCATTACGAGGAGGGGTGGGAATCAGCAGTTTCTGCTGTTTGGTGTAGTGGGTAGGAGTGTGGACTCTAATCTAGGAGAACCAGGTTTGATTCCCCACTCCTCCACATGCAGTTGCTGGTGTGACCTTGGGTCAGTCACAAGTTATCTCAGATCTGTTCTCTCATGAGCAGTTCTGGAAAGAGCTCTCTCAGCCCCACCTACCTCACAGGGTGTCTGTCGTGGGGAGGGGAAAGGAGATTGTGAGCCACTCTGAGACTCCTTCAGGTAGTGAAGGGCGGGGTATAAATCCAATCTCTTCTTCTACTTCTTAGTGTGCTGTGTGTAAGGTTACATGTGTATACTGTTGCTTCCTGTCTTACTGAAGCGTGCAGTGTACAGACAGCATTAAAGTGATGAGATGGCCACCCTGTTTCCTAGGGCCAACAGGTTTCTGTGTGGGGGTGGGAGAGGAAGTATATGTTTTCCACTTCCAGAGCTGATACACATAGTAATCCATTGTGCACATTTAATTCGCAAAATCTTGCATTATGTGTATTACCTACTTTATAGGGGGGGTTGTTTTGTCCTTAAACTTTAAACTTGCAGTGGTAGGATGCTAGCCTGCTTTATTGTTCACTGCCTGTTTATACCACCAAATAAATTTTATTGCATGATTTAACCATGAAACTGATACCACCACAAACTATTTGGTGGGCGACATATTGAAACAAGGCAGCGAATGAAAATCCACACAGGCAGCACATAGGACTATTTATTTATTTACTTGTTTCTTTATTTTTATTCATTTATTTTGGCAGTCTTAAAGGATAGGAGTTTATCCTCTGTAGACAAGGAAAAGAACCTTACAGTGCCTTTCATGCCATTTTGGAACTATACCTCTAGCTGTTGAAGGAGAAGAGCTGTTTTTTATACCCTGCTCTTCACTACCTGAAGGAGTCTCAGAGCGGCTTACAATCGCCTTCCCTTCCTTTCCCCGCAACAGACACCCTATGAGATAGATGGGGCTGAGAGAGCTGTGACTGACCCAAGGTCACCCAGCTGGCTGAATGTTTCCGCCAGGCTTTCGAGTAGGAGCCGCCGCCACTGCCACGATACCATCATTGTGGCCGATTTTTCCATCGACCTGGCCTTGGGTGGGGAGAGACGCTGCCCTAAAGAGGAACACCACTCAGGCGTCTCGAACTTGGATATCATCAGCCGAAAATGAGATTCGTCTATCTTGAGTCCTGTTAAAATGTACTGTAGAGCACCAATTTTAGTTCTTATTTATTAAGTTTTTAATATAATGTATGTTTTTATTCTCGGCATTTGCCGTCTGTTGCCGCCCTGAGCCAAATGGGTAGGGCGGGATACAAATCCCATAATAAATAAATAAATAAATAAACATGGACTTTGGTACCAGAGCTTGCAGTAAACCCAGATGCCAACTCTGCTGGCACAGATGCGAGAACTGAATGACATCAGCATGTGTAGTGAGATAAGAAACCAGTATCTCTGTTAAGCCTTGGGGGTTCCATTGTCCTGAGGCATGGAAATGCTTGTAACTCAGTGTTATCCTGTTCTAGTCTGTTTCTGGAATTCCTTTGCAATAAAACAGCTACTTTGAAGTCCTCCGTTGAATGTCCCAGAAGGCTGAAGTGTTCTCCCACAGGTTTCTCAGCTTCGTGATTCCTGATGTCAGATATGTGTCCATTTATCCTTTGAGGTAGGGTTTGCCCTGTGCAGAGAACTGAAGGGCATCCGATACGTGTCCTGTACTATGAACAGAAGGTGATCAAGGAGACTCTCTGAACTGAACATATCTATAAGGAGTCAACCTCCTTGGCAAAATGTCCACAAGAAAGGCAATCTCCCACTCTCCATTGGAGTTGCTGAAGAAACCAAGAGAGTTCTGTAACCTGCATGCTGCTAATCCAAACAAGAACTCCTCCAACAATTATCATTAACCGTTCACAGCACAGGTTCAGCACAGCAGAAGAATCCGTTATTTCTTGTGTATTATCATTCTGCCCCACCAGACCCACACGGATGATTCTGTTCTGCGGGGACCTGGAAGCTTTCTTCCACCATCTGTGCCTGAAAAGAGTCCTTTCAACATACCCAAGAACAGAACGAGAAAGAACAGGCAGCATCTCTACAACACACCATCACACAACCTACTGGAGAGCAGCTACCATCCCTCCAACCCACCAAAGAATAATATCCTTGTCAAGAAATTAGACCTTGAGTCAGTGTCTTGTTCTTTCATTAAATGTAGGGTTAAACAGAGGCAAGCCTTCTGTTAAAGATCTAGGCCTGCAAAAGGGTTGAAGAGATCATGATTATGAGGAGATAAATGATTCTCCTTCTGATTTTTGCTCAGTCGTCTCTTACTTTTTTGACTTGATTTAGCAGCATGAGTCTCACAATGAAAGAGATCCAGGGCTTGAAGTGGGAACAAGTCTACGTTGTATGTTTGCTGTCTATACTTTGCACAAAGGAGTGTGCGTGTGTGTGGGGAATATAGACAATGATACTCAGTGGTTCGGAAGTCACATGTGCTCTTTGACACACCTCAGGCTCTTTCAGTTACCCAATGTATCTGAAGGGCTATTGTCTCCCATAAGTTCCTGCCCGGGAACTAAGATCATTGGGAGGCCCTCCTAAAAAACAAGCATTTGTCACAAGATGCTTTAGGCTGGTCCTGCATTGGGCAGGGGGTTGGACTAGATGGTCTGTATGGCCCCTTCCAACTCTATGGTTCTATGACTGTCCCATCAATCAAAGAAGCTTGTTTAGTGGGGTACATGAGAGGGGGCCTCTTCAGTGGCAGCCCCACACAATTATGAAACAGCCTCCCCAAGGAGGTACACCTGGCTACCTCACTCTCCATCTTTAGGAGGCAGCTGAAGATTATTTTTTTTCTCCACAGCTTCCCCACCCTTAGGCAGCCACTGGGAGGAGAGCAAGCTGTCTGCAGAGAAGAGTACAACAAACGCTATCACAAAAGCCACCTGGGAAAAGAGCAAGCTGGCCAGTGTGTGTTTGGGGTGATTTTACTCCCCTTTCTCCACCGTCAGCTTCCTCTCCTCTGGGCACCTTGGCAATCTCTCTCTCTCTCCAGCACCTGAGCTGCTGTGCCTCAGGCTGAGGAGAGAGTTGGAAGGCAGACAGGGAAGCTGTCAAGTTGCAGCTGACCTGTGGTGTGACCCGCGTAGGGTGTTCAAGGCAAGAGACTGATTGAGGTGGTTTTGCCATTGCCTGCCTCTGTACAGACTTCCTTGGTGATCTTCCAACCAAGTAGTAACCAGGTCTGACCCTGCTT